ATAATCCGGGCCCACGCCCGGTTCGGGAACAAGTGGGCCACCATCGCTCGCTTGCTCAATGGTCGCACCGATAACGCCATAAAGAACCACTGGAACTCCACGCTCAAGCGCAAATGCTCATCCATGTCCGAAGATTTGACCCCGGACGTCCATTCCCATCCGGCTCACAAACGATCCGCCAGTGTCGGTGCGGTTACGGCTGTTTCGGGTCTTTATTTGAACCCGGGTAGCCCTTCCGGATCAGATATGAGCGATTCGAGTCTGCCCGGTATTGTGTCGCCGACTCAAGTTTTCAGGCCGCTTGCGAGAACCGGACCCCTCATTGCTCCGCCGATGGAGGCCTCGTCTTCGGCTGTCGATCCGCCGACCTCTCTCAGCCTCTCACTGCCCGGATCCGACTCGAGTGACGGGTCGAATCAGTTGGCGTCCGGGTTCGGATCCAACCCGGGTGTGAGCCCGACCTCGATGGTACAACAACCGCAAGAGGCAGCACTCGCCGTGGCGGGAGCCCAGCTGCCACGTCAGAGCAACCAAAACAGTGAGATGGGGTACGATCAGCAGTTCTTCAGCTCAGAATTCTTGGATGTGATGCAGGAGATGATCAGAAAGGAAGTGAGGCACTACATGTCTGGGGTTGAGCAGACGGGGCTGTGCATGCACACCGAAGCCATTAGAAACGCCGTCGTAAAGCGTATTGGGATTAGCAAAATCGAGTAGCGGCCGCAACCGAATAGAATGACGTAGTAGTCCTAGTGAGAGATCATCGAGATGATCCAGAGTCCGACCCGGAACCAAAAGTTTGGAATTAGCCCAAAAGCAGCATGAACTCTGTTAATTAAATTTCCGTCAATTTCCTTTCTTTTTTTTAAATTTGGGGCGTTTTTAAATTGTAGTGAAAATAATTTTGGTAGTGTACAGAGGGACGAACTGCGGATGATGATGAGGCTTTTCTCATATGATAAAATGGAGGCCAAGTGGGTGGATGGAAATTGGGCTATTAAGGAATCTTGTTTCTCTTCAATTCTCTAATTAAAAATGGAAAATTAAATTTCTAATTAAAAATGGAAAAAATAATAATAATCTTAATTGAAAGAAAATTCAAAGCTGTAAAGTCTTCGTTGTCCTATGGAGATGAAATGGTGACAGCTCAAGTAAACGCAGTTGTCAACGGTTTAATTGGGTATGACCCAGTCCGGTCATCTTGTTTTCAAATCTTGATGATTTGGATAAAACATTTAAAACCATTTGAATCACAAGGGGAATTCTCAGCCACTGGGCTGGGTGGGTATGTCGACTATATTTTTAAGAGATTTGGGAGAGAAATTAGACATTCATTAATTACCGGGTAATGCAAATTTTGATTTAAGAAAATTCAAGACCATACAGACATCCCAGCATAATGTTATAAATTATTTTCATGATGCAGAAGCATCTCAACTACTTGACTCATGGTAGGTCTTGCATCTCTGTCTTCCTCTAAGCATTGAAGAGCCACTTTAACAAGCATTTCAAGTCTACCCTGTTCATAATCTGCTCCCATCTGGCTCTCTGCCTTTGTAAATGCACCATGCATCTTCTCCTTCACCCATGTAGTAACCATCATCTTTTTCTCGGTCTCCCCTCCACCTTCTATTGCTTGAACACTTTCTGCTGGCCTCTTTCCAGTCAGCATTTCCAGCACAACAATCCCATAGCTGTAAACATCCACTTTGGAAGTGATGGCCATGTTGTGAACCCACTCTGGTGCCATGTAACCTCTGGTTCCTCTTATTCTTGAGAAGTTTGAGTTGCTGACCTCACTTCTGTTCAGTAGCTTGGACAATCCAAAATCAGCCACTTTTGGGTTGTAATTAGAGTCCAACAGTATGTTCTGAGGCTTCACATCACAATGCAAAACCCACTCCAAACATTCTTCATGTAAATAAGCTAGTCCTTTTGCTGTGCCCACTGCAATTTCAAACTTTGTCTTCAAATCAAGCACCTTGGAAGATAACTTCTCCGCCAAGGAACCATGCTCCATGTACTCATACACCAAAAGCCTATGCTTTCCTTCCGCACAATATCCCCACATCTCAATTAAGTTCATGTGGTACAGCTTCCCAATAAGGCTCACCTCTGCAAGAAACTCTGCTTCCCCTTGGTTAGCACCATTCAATTGTTTGATTGCCGCGATTCGTTCATCACACAATACGCCTTTGTACACAATTCCTCCCCCTCCCCTGCCAATCTCTTCTTTGAAACCTCTTGTGGCCTTTTTCAACTCTGAGTAACTGAATCTTCTGAATCCAGTGGCAGCTTGAAGGTAGCCTTGTGTGACCACATCATCTGAATCTACTTGATCTCCACCGTTTCTTCTAGTCAGAAAAAACCAAACAAGAAAGACACAAGCAACCTCAAGTGCTCCTAGCCCAGATGCGAATTCCAGCATAAACTTGACAGACTGATTTGTGTTGCTTTTTTCATATGTTCTGTCAAGCTGGCTTGTGAGCTTGCTTGAGCACATATTGGATTCTTTTGTGGTAGCATTATAGGAAGACAGGATTGATTTGGGCAGTTTCAGATACAGCTCTCCTTGAAAGCCCGGGGCACGGTATCCATTTCGAAATTGGGTCTTGGGATAACAATTATGATGACCACCACCAAACTTGTAGTGAAAACCTGGACAGCTGCACAACTCCAAGCATAAAGCTTTGCACTTTTCTAAGGTTGTATTAACAAAGATCGAGTAATCATATCCGTAATATTCAACCCTTGGAAGGTACATAAAATCAAACTGATCACGATCACTACTTTTGCAGGATAAATTGAAACCATCAGTTGCAGGTTGACATCCATAAGCCCAGTCAAATTTGTTTCTCATCTCATAGCCCGGAAGGCATGAGCATTTTCTAACAGAACTAGGATCATAGGTGCACAAACCATTAGGCCCACAAATGCCATGAATTTTGCACGGTTGTTGAATGGCTTGCCATGAAACAACCCAAGTATCTCCGGCCTGTTTTCGACTGTACAATCGGAGATTACCATCAACATCTGCCTTCAATCTTCTCTGCAAATTCGTGCCATAATCCGCTGCGATAACAATAAGACCATCTGATGCACTAAAGTTTCCCATGGCATCTAAAACTGCAACTCTAGTGTTGTTGTATGGTGTCCTTCTAGCTTGCAAACTTAGAAGCCAAGGGTCATGCCAGTAAATGCTTGAGACCTCAGGGCCATCGTAAAGAAGGCGAAGAGTGTTGTCATTATCGAAAAAAAGCGAGTAAAATCCAGATGAATAGTTGGTGAGGCTTCTTGAAGAGACAAGCTTTGTGTTCCTAGTAAGTTGTTGTTGAGGCAAAAGGGTATCTGTTGGGGAAGCAAAGCTTTCCCACAAAGCAACACCCTTGAGAGTTAGCAGAACAAGATTGCCATTGTCGTTGAGACTTAATCGGTCTAATGAATTTGAAACAGTGTTGGAAGACCAAATGGTATATTTCCCAGCATCGGTTAGAATAAGATTACCATTTCCTTGCAGGGTGAGCTTGGAGCTCCTACCGTTGACTGGCTCGTCACGATTTGCTATCCAAACCACGGTGAGGTTTTGAGCTGGGGCGGCTGGCTCTGTGTACCATATTCCAAAGCAATAGGCATTTTCGCCTACCGGAAAAAATCCAGCTGAAAATAGACCATTTGGTGAGATCAAGGTATCAGCTTCATTTTCCACTGACAGAGATGAGCCCAGGCTCAAATTGTTGGATGCTGATGATGCCAGTAGAGAAAACTGTGACAGAAAAAGAAGAGCAAGGCACAAAAATGTAGCAGCCATGAGTTTAATTGAAATCAAAGTAGGTAATTAGCAAATGAATGTAGTCTAATCCCAAAGAAGCAAAATATTTTGCATATAAAAGTCTAAGGTTGCAACTTGCATGAAGGCGTTTGAACTATATAAAGGCTCTTGGTTTAATTTGTACTCCTTTGACCATTCGAGTGTTTTGGGTTGTTGCAATGGCAGCCGCCGCGGTTGAAATGTTGTCGTTGGGGAGAATTAAGCATCTGCCTTGGATTAAAGAATATGCAAATTGCGCCAATGGGTCCCCACCACAGCCGTGTGGATTCCCCCTCCCCTCATGGCACTCAGTGGCTCCTCATGGCACTTAGGCAAATTGCATATCCTACAGTTGAAATGAATTAAAAAAGGAAGAAGAAAATAATAATTATTCATGCATGAAATAAGAAAACACGTGATTATGAGCATTGTACCCGTTAGACTTTTGTTCTTCCAAGTAGTGGAAATAATGAGGAGGCAAGCAGTGGGAAGCTGCTTTTAAATGGCCCCTCTGAAATATTAAGGGGGAATTTGGTATCTTTAAATAGGAAACTCAAAAACTTTGTTTTTTCTTAAAAGTAAGGAGTTCTCAAATCCATTTTTAAGATTCAAAAACTTGTTTGGTATGCAACTTGAAAATTGTTTTCAAATCCCCCACCACAGCCGTGTGGATTCCCCCTCCCCTCATGGCACTCAGTGGCTCCTCATGGCACTTAGGCAAATTGCATATCCTACAGTTGAAATGAATTAAAAAAGGAAGAAGAAAATAATAATTATTCATGCATGAAATAAGAAAACACGTGATTATGAGCATTGTACCCGTTAGACTTTTGTTCTTCCAAGTAGTGGAAATAATGAGGAGGCAAGCAGTGGGAAGCTGCTTTTAAATGGCCCCTCTGAAATATTAAGGGGCATTTGGTATCTTTAAATAGGAAACTCAAAAACTTTATTTTTTCTTAAAAGTAAGGAGTTCTCAAATCCATTTTTAAGATTCAAAAACTTGTTTGGTATGCAACTTGAAAATTGTTTTCAAATTTTAAAAATTTGAGAACTTGTTTTGGTGAATTCTTGAAAACATTTTCTTACAAGCAACCTCAAGTGCTCCTAGGATATGGGTATTTTGGTCACTTTTTGTTCAGAAAGGAATTTGAGAAATTGAGTTGCACCGTTGCGTGGAGCTCATCGATGCGAGTTTGTAGATAGGCGGCAGACTCAATTCCAACTCAAATCGAAGAAGTTATAGTTTACGGAAGTATAATGGCACAACCGTAATTTTTGCAAAGTGAAATTTTAAAACCTCAGTTAGCTCTCTCTCTCTCTCTCATGTGTGAACAATGGCGCCGCCACTTCCAACCCATTTTTCGGCATCGTCCAACCTCCGTTGCCGCCGTAACCTTCACGAAAATTACTCCTCACATCCTCCTCTACAAAACCCATAGAATATCCGACCCAATTAGCCAAAGGATAGCTCAAATTTTCAGTTGGAAAAACAGCCCAAAAATTACCTTGTTGGTGCCGAACTTTCTCAGTTCTGTACGACCATATCCTGCCACCTTTGGTCGGAGTCCCTTCATGAAAAAGTTTCCCCAACCTCTCTTCTATCTTTTCCGCCAAAGATCCGGCCCCATACATCGCCGGAAAACCAAAACCGACATCGGAGAAATCAAGGGTTTTCTGGTCTGGAAACCTTAAAATCCGGCCACCTCTAGTCACTTTTGGCCATCGACTTAGGTATAAAGAAAACCTTAAACCCAAACCGACTATCATTGCAATGTTGATTATGCTAAGTTTGGAAATCTTAGGAAGAGAGAGAGAGAGAGAGAGAGAGAGAGAGAGAGGCATGGTTGGTTGTAAGAAAAAAACCTGAAGAAACATATATTTTTTGTTTTTAATAATTGTGGTGTTTTTGAGTTGTTCTTGAGTTTGAGTTTTAAAAAATAGGGTTACCAAACAGGTTTTCTTTGTTTTGACCTCAAATTCTATTTTTGAGTTTAAAAATTTGGATTCAAGTTGAATACCAAATAAGCCCTAATATATATAGCAGTATCTTTGGCTATAAAAAGTTTTCAGATACAGTCTTCAAACAACAAAGGGTGGGCTCAAATCACAAATTGAAATAATGAAAAACATAATGGTTCAAATTATTTCGGTTTAGACCTCAAATTATATAGTAGCATAATCAAACGAAACTACTTTATCTTTATAGCAATTAACCAAATATTTTATCTTCTCTTACATATATCAAACCAAAGTGGATACTGCAAATTGAACAATACTTCATTCTTACCTTATAATCAAATTCGAATGGTTTAGGAATTTTGATTTTTGGTATTAAATAGTTGATTACACGTTAATATAGGTGATAAAAAATTAAAAAATTAGTCAAAGTGTAAAAAATAATGAAATTAATATAAGTGATTTGGTTGGTTTAAACAATTTCCAAATATGCTAAATCAAATAGAACCAAACTAATTGTGGGTTAAGAACTTTAATATTTATTTGTAGAGGGGTCTAATTGGAAGTTTATAAAAGTCCATGAACTTATTGTGCGTCTATTGTGAATAGAGTCGTTCTATGTCGTTTTATGGTTATGGTGAGGGTGATGGGCCTTACGTGTCTTTTAGAAGAGGGCAAAGGAAGAGGGGAATCTAAACTTGTTCACACATTTGATAGTGTGGGTTTATGAAAATTTAATGTTAATTTCCTATTCTTTCAAGGTTCATTGATCCTTCAAGACTGTGTCTATTAAAAGTTTTAATGAAAGTGACAAACAGCCCTCCATTTCATTGTTTGAATTACAGGTTGATGCATATTCTTAAGCATCAGAACGTAAAATTTAGGGAAGGAGAATGAGGTTATTCGTTCTATACCAGAACAAAGAGCTTATAGATTATCATAGTTCAATAATGCAAATTTTATAGATTTGAGCAGAAAGAAGAAATCAAGATATATACATGTATTATTACCAACATCACAGTCAGCTGGTCAGATTGATCTGAGCAGAGGAAGAAATCAAACCATTATTATGAACAAGTCACCCTTAATAATAATTACAATAAATTGTTTTCATGATGAAGAAGCATCTGAACCACTTCGCTCATGGTGGGTCTTGCATCTTTGTCTTCCTCTGTACATTGAAGAGCAACTTTTACAAGAATTTCCAGCTCACCCTTTTCATATTCAGCTCCTATTGGGCTCTTTGCATCTGCAAATGCTCCATTCATTTTCTCCCTCACCCATGTAGCCAGCATCCTTTTCTGTGTGTCACCTCCACCTTCTACTCCATGAACACTTTCCATTGCGCTTTTTCCTGTGAGCATTTCCAACACAACAATCCCATAGCTGTATACATCCACTTTGGAGGTGATGGGCATATTGTGAACCCACTCTGGAGCCATGTAACCTCTAGTTCCTCTTATTCTTGAGAAGTTTGAGTTGCTAAACTCACTTCTGTTTAGTAGCTTGGACAATCCAAAATCAGCCACTTTTGGGTTGTAATTAGAGTCCAAGAGTATGTTCTGAGGCTTCACATCACAATGCAAAACCCACTCCAAACATTCTTCATGTAAATAAGCTAGTCCTTTTGCTGTGCCCACTGCAATTTCAAACTTTGTCTTCAAATCAAGCACCTTGGAAGATAACTTCTCCGCCAAGGAACCATGCTCCATGTACTCATACACCAAAAGCCTATGCTTTCCTTCCGCACAATATCCCCACATCTCAATTAAGTTCATGTGGTACAGCTTCCCAATAAGGCTCACCTCTGCAAGGAACTCTGCTTCCCCTTGGTTAGCACCATTCAATTGCTTGATTGCCACGATTCGTTGATCAGACAATACGCCTTTGTACACAATTCCTCCCCCTCCCCTTCCAATCTCTTCTTTGAAACCTCTTGTGGCCTTTTTCAACTCAGAGTAACTAAATCTTCTGAATCCAGTGGCAGCATGAAGGTAGCCTTGTGTGACCACATCATCTGAATCTACTTGATCTCCACCGTTTCTTCTAGTCAGAAAAAACCAAACAAGAAAGACACAAACAACCTCAAGTGCTCCTAGCCCAGATGCGAATTCCAGCATAAACTTGACAGACTGATTTGTGTTGCTTTTTTCATATGTTCTGTCAAGCTGGCTTGTAAGTTTGTCTGAGCAAATACTGTTGGATTCTTCAGCTTCCGTGACATTATAGGAAGAAAGGATTGATTTGGGTAGTTTCACATACAGGTCTCCATCAAAACCAGGCGAACGGTATCCATTTCGTAATTGCATCTTTGGGAAGCAATTATAAAAACCACCACCACCTGAGTCATGTTTGAAGTGGAACCCTGTACAGTTTCCCAAATCCAGGCAGAAATTTTTGCACTTTTCCCAGGTGTAATTATAAAAGATCCCGAAATCGAACCCATAGATCTCAACACGAGGAATGAACATAAAATCAAACTGATCACGAGCAGCAATACTATTGTTGTGGGACAGATTAAATTCTGGTTGACAACCATAAATCCAATCATTTTTATTTCTAATCACATAGCCTGGAACACATGAGCATTTCCTACCAAAACTAGGAACATAGTTGCACCAACTATTAGCCCCACAAATTCCATGAATTTTGCACGGTTGCAAAACTGCTTCCCATGTAACAACCCAAGTATCTCCCGGCTGCTTTCGACTGTACATTCGAACATTACCATCAGCATCCATCTTCACTATTCTCTGCCGCTTTGCACCATAATCCGATGACAAAATGGTGAAATCATCGGATGCACTAAAATTGCCCAAGTTATCAAACTTGGCAATTCTACTGTTGTTGTAAGTGGACCTCCCAGCTTGGATACTAAGAAGCCAAGGATCAGGCCAGTAAATGCTTGAAACTTCAGGGCCATCGTACAGAAGGCGGAGAGTGTTGTCATTGTCGAAAAAGAGTGAGTAGAAGCCAGAGGAATAGTTGGTGAGGCTTCTTGAAGAGAGAAGCTTGGTGTTCCTTGTAAGTGGTTGGTGAGGTAAAAGGGTGTCTGTTGGTGAAGCAAAGCTTTCCCACAAAGCAACACCCTTGACAGTGAGTAGAACAAGATTGCCAGTGTCGTTGAGACGCAATCGGGCTAATGAAGCTGAAACAGTGTTGGAGGACCAGATGGTGGATTTGCCAGCATCTGTGAGAATAAGATTTCCGTTTTTTTGGAGGGTGAGCTTGGAGCTCCTACCGTTGACTGGCTCATCACGGTTTGCCGTCCAAACCACGGTGAGGTTGTGAGTTGGGGATGGCTCAGTGAACCATATTGCAAAGCAATATGCATTTTCACCTACTTGAAAAAACCCAGCTGAAAACATGCCATTTGGTGAGATCAAAATATCAGCTGGATTTTCCACAGAGAGAGATGAGCCCATGCTCATTGTACTATAGGATGCTGATGATCCTAATTGAGAAAATAGTGTCAACAAAAGAAACAAAAACACCATATAGGCGTCCATGATTGATCACATAACGGTGCTACAGAGCTTTTGCCAATTATTCTGATCCCCAAAGAAGCAAAGACAGTTGCGTTTATAAAAAGGAAGGTTGCAAGTTGTATGAATTTGTGACGATTGGTCTGGAAGGTCAAACACTTATATGTGTATATGATATGATATAATGTATGTCACGATGTGTTCGACTTGGTCCACTGGACTATTTTGTTTGATTTAGACAAAAAATGAGATATCATAATTGCACAACCAGACGTATTGACGGATACACAACATGTTACATAAATATAGCATTTGTGACATAACTCATCTTTGTCCAAAAAAACATTAAAATAATTAGTAAATTGAGCTTAGACCCATAAAATTCATTTTAAATCACCTACAACCCTTTCCTTTAGTTTTCTATTTAAAATACCCAATTTTTTCAAATAATACCCGATGACTAGGATCCAACTAAGCAAGTTACCTAATATAACTTAAAATCTGATTTATTGTATTTTTCGGATTCCAAACCTACCCCTATTTATAAGTTATTGTGTTATGAGGGGGTGTAACTAATGACACACGTTGAATTTGGAAAGATCTCCAAATAGTTATAATGGATGTAGGAATTAATTAAGAAACTTATTTAAAATTAAATATTAAATTCCATATTAAAGTATTAGTAATCTATTTACGACTAGTAATCTATTTTTGAATTAATGTTGTTTTCCTTTTATGAATTATACGACTAGTATTCTATTTTATTATAGTTTTATGAATAATAGTGTACATTCTAATTATGTTGAAAAATAATTTGATAATCTATTTATTATTTGTTTTTTGAAAAACGTTTTTTTTAATGAACCTATTTTTTCTAAATGAACTTTTTTTTTTCTCTCCAAATAATGTACCTATTTTTTTTTCTCTAATAATGTACCTAGTAAAACAATTTACCTAGTATAATGAACCTATTTTTTTGCTAAATTTTGTATCTATTTTTTTCTCTAAATAATGTACCTATTTTTTTTCTCTAATAATGTATACCTAGTAAAACAATTTACCTAGTATAATGCACTTATTTTTTTCTTCTAAATAATGTACCTATTTTTAATTTATAAAAAAATGTGCATAAATTTCAATTATACGACATACCTATTTTCTATAAATTATTATGTACCTATTTTTAATGCCTGAAAAATGTACGGAAATTTCAATTACAAAGTAACTGACCTATTTTTGTTAATTTTTTTGGTAAATAATATACCAATATTTTTATACATATATATTTATATTTATATTTTTCATATATACATTATTGGATATGTAATTTACTTTTTTTTTTTTTTTTTTGCAATTTTAGGGGAATGGCAACCAAAAGAAATGGGGTGATTGCTATGCTATTAATAGGGAGTTTTAATTACAATTATGGCAGTTAATGAAATGCTTGGAATAAATTATAAATAAAATATGAAGTCTGATGACAAGGATGTAAAAACATAGGAATACTATGACCTATTATATCTTAAGTTTGAAATTAGGTTTTACACATAGATTTATAGAATGATGGGTATATGTCTAGAAAATAGAAATTGTAGGGACCTATATCAGACAAGCCCTTATTTGATCTCGTGCTCATAACCAAGCTGCTAAAAACGAAAGAAATTCTGTAGTTGCCTGGTCGTTGCCGGCAGCGTAGAAAAACCAAGGTTGGGACAAACTAACTACCATTGACATGTTTGAAAACTACCCAATTGCATTTGCTTCTATTAAACTAATAAGATTAAGAATAAGAAGAAAGAATTGGTCTTGGGTGCTACAAGAGACCACGCAGTAGCTACCATGGCAGCACCCTCAAAGGAAATTTGACTGAGAATTCATACTTCTTCATGCTCTAAAATGTCAAAATTTAGACCTCGAACGCCAGAATGCAAAACTTCGCCCAAACTTCAACATGCCAAAGTTCAAATCCTGAACTTTAAAAAAAAAAAAAAAAAAGCTTTATCACCTAGGCCCAATATGCTTGCTCTTTACACAAACTTGGGGCTTTTCTGTCTTTGTTATTTTCTCAACCCAGCCCGAGGTTCTTTTGGATCAGATCCCCCAATCTGTAAGTGCAACAATTTGCCGGATGGGAGTTTAAATATTTTTCCCATAATGACCTGGCTGTGTCTAGACTAGGAAGTTGGAAGTATGGAGTTTGGCATATATACCTTTTATTCTTTTAACTTTTGATGTTTCTTTAAAATCAATACATAGTCCACAGGCAAGACATATTTAAGCAGAGAATAATTGTATGAGCATGCCACCATTCTAATCAATTGTTTTCATGATGTAGAAGCATCTCAACAACTTGACTCATGTTGGGTCTTGCATCTTTGTCTTCCTCTAAGCATTGAAGAGCCACTTTCACAAGAATTTCAAGTCTATCCTGTTCATAATCATCTCCCTTTTGGCTCTCTGCATTTGCAAATGCTCCGTTCATCTTCTCCCTCACCCATGTAACCATCATCTTTTCATGCGTCTCCTCTCCACCTTCTATTGCTTGAACACTTTCTGCTGGGCTCTTTCCAGTCAGCATCTCCAACACCACAATTCCATAGCTGTAAACATCTGCTTTGGAAGTGATGCGTATATTCTGAACCCACTCTGGCGCCACGTAACCTCTGGTTCCCCTGACCCTTGAAAAGCTGAAATTGCTCTGCTCACCTCTGTTTAGTAGCTTGGAAAGTCCAAAATCTGCAACCTTCGGATTATAATTAGAGTGTAGAAGTATGTTCTGAGGCTTTATATCACAGTGCAAAACCCATTCCAAGCATTCTTCATGTAAATAAGCCAGACCTTTCGCTGTCCCCACAGCAATTTCAAACTTTTGCTTCCAATCAAGCCCATTGGAAGATAACTTTTCTGCCAAGGAACCATGCTCCATATACTCATACACCAAGAGCCGATGCTTTCCTTCCACACAATATCCCCACATCTCTATCAAATTCATGTGGTACAACTTCCCTATGAGGCTCACTTCTGCCAGGAACTCGGCTTCCCCCTGGTTAGCACCATTCAGTTGTTTGATTGCTGCAACTCTTTGATCAGATAATAAGCCTTTGTATACAGTTCCTCCCCCACCTCTTCCAATCACTTCTATGAAACCTCGTGTGGCCTTTTTCAATTCCGAGTAACTAAATCTTCTAAATCCAGTTGCAGCATGAAGGTATCCGTGCATAACCACTTCTGAATCTTCTCGCTCTCGGCCAGTTCTTCTACTCACAAAATACCAAACAAGAAAGACACAAACAATCTCAGCTCCTCCCAGCCCAGATGCCAATTTAAGCATAAACTTGACAGAACCATTTGGACCACTTTTTTCGTACGTTCTGTCAAGTGGTCTTGTGAGTTTGTCTGAGCACGCATAATTGGATTCTTCAGCTGAAGCATTATAGGAGGAAAGGATGGATTTGGGTAGTTTCAAGTAGAGGTCTCCATCAAAACCAGGCGTGCGGCGTCCATTTTCCAATTGAACCTTAGGGAAACAATTATGAATACCATCCCAGGGGGCATATTTGTATTGGAACCCTGCGCAGTTGCACAATTCCAAGCACAAAACTTTGCACCTTTCTAAGGTGTAGTTTGAATAGAACCCGTAATCATAGCCATAGAATTCGACATGAGGAAGATGCATAAAACCGAACACATACCGAGCAGCGGTACTAGTACCAGTACACGACCAGGACAGGTTGAAATGATCACCTGCAGGTTGAGGTTGACACCCATAAGACCAATCAACTTTGTTCCTCATCTCATATCCTGGGAGACATGAGCATTTCCTACCAAAACTAGGGACATGGCTGCACCAACTATTAGCCCCGCAAATTCCATGAATTTTGCATGTTACAGAAATGGCTTGCCATGAAACAACCCATGTAGCTCCTTGCTGTGTTCGGCTGTATAATCGGACATTACCATCAGCATCCATCTTTAGTATTCTCTGCAACTTTGCACCATAATCCACGGACGAAATGCTAAAATTGTCTGATGCACTTAGACTGCCCAAATGATCAAACATGGCAATTCTAGAGTTGTTGTATGTGGACCTCCCAGCTTCCCAGCTTGTACGCCAAGGGTCAGGCCAGTAAATGCTCGAAAGCTCTGGGCCACTGTAGAGAATGCGGAGAGTGTTGTCATTGTCGAAATAAAAAGAGTAGAAGCCAGAGGAATAGTTGGTGAGGCTTCTTGAAGAGATAAGCTTTGTGTTTCTGGTGAGTGGTTGTTGAGGTAAAAGGGTGTTTGTTGGTGAAGCAAAGCTTTCCCACAACGCAAGACCTTGCAGAGTGAGGAGGACAAGATTGCCATTGTCATGCAGAATTAATTTGGTGAATGAATTGGAAACAGTGTTGGAAGACCAGATGGTGGATTTGCCAGCATCTGTTAGAATAAGATTACCATCCTTTTGCAAGATGAGCTTGGAGCCCCTACCGTTGACCGGCTGGTCACGGTTCGACATCCAAACCACAGTGAGGTTGTGAGTTGGGGATGGCTCTGTGAACCATATTGCAAAGGAATATGCATTTTCACCCACTTGAAAAAAACCAGCTGAAAACATGCCATTTGATGAAGTCAAGGTATCAGCTGGGTTTTCCACTGAAAGAGATGAGCCTGCGCTCAAATCAGTATAGGATGCTGATGAAACTGCCAAAGGAGAAAATAGTGCCAGAGAAAGAAGGATAAGGAAGAAGCATGTCCCAGCCATGAATTTAATGGAAATCAGAAGCAACCATCAACCATGGTCCATTGCCCTAATGTGATCACAAAGAAGCAAAAGTTGTGCGCATATGTAAGGCAATTAGGCTCCAACTTGCATTGGATCAAAAAAAAAAAAAAAAAAGAAGGGCTCCAACTTGCATGAAGGACCGCATATCATTTATTCAAAACCTTGATGTCCAACCACAAAGTGTGGTGCGGTTGTCAAATTGTCATCTCTAGCTGGCAAGCTACCTAGTGCCTCAATGACAGGGGTTCGAAACCCATTGGAAGCACTTTGTGTTCAGGGGCAAGCCAAACCTCGAGCATGAATTAATCCCACCCTTCGGATGTGAGGACACCTTGTGGTATTTACAAAAAAAAAGAAAAAGACCCTTGATGTCTACTAAATGCAAGAAGTTCAAATTTCAATAAAGAAAAATGTTGATGTTCACTTATGCTACAAGGTAAAAAAGGGCTCATTTGATCATTCTACTCTACCCACCAATTTTTATTATTTAAATTTCACAAGTCACACACTTCAGAAAAACTGGTCTTAGACGTCACAATGGAATTTCCCCAAGGTCAGGAGTGACGCCATCTGAAAGTACCTAGCAACTCCCCTATAGAAACAAAAACAACTAACAATACCAATAAAAATAAAAATTAAGAAAAACAGAGAGTGAAGGGTAGGGCAGATCAAGGGGCACTACTACAAAAATTGCAATAGACGACGGTAATCCACCGTCGTGTATTCGGTTTTTCAACCGTCGTGAAATCGACCGACATCTTTTGATGCATAAAACCACGACGGTAAATTCCCGTCGTCTATTATTTGTAAAGACGACGCTTTTACTCACAATCATCATCTTTTCATATAATAGACGACGGTTTTTTTAAGAACTGTTTTCCCCATCGTCTATTATTTGTAAAGATGACGCTTTTACTCACAACCGTTGTCTCTTATATGTAAAGACGGCGGTTTTTTTGAAAGAACTGTCATCTATTATATGTAAAGACGACGGTTTTTTTAAAGAACCGTCGTCTATTTTATGTAAAGATGACGGTTTTTATTTAAAACCGTCTTTAATTGTATAGAAAGATGATGGTTTTTTGTTAAAAAATTTATGTAAAGACGACGGTTTTTTGTTAAAAATCATCGTTGATTGTATATAAAGACGGCTGTATTGTGTTAAAAACGGTCATTAATTAAATGCACAAACGATGGTTTTTTCAATAAAACCATCGTTTTATTATTTTTAAATCTGTCGTCTAACAAGTTCCCAAGCTGTTACATTTTAGTTTTTGGTTTCCTGTCATTCTATACAACGATTTTAACTAGAAAACCAATTATATTGCTTTATTAACGAACATATACACTCAAAAATTATTTCTTTCATAAAACTTGAAGATTCAATAGTTATTACATAGTCAACCAATCTTTATTCTATCACATACATACTTCCTACTATTACATACATACTTCCTACCTATAATTAGATATAATTGAGCTCACAAATTCTACTAATTTGATCTTAACTTCATCAATTTGTTATTGGGTTGACTTAGCTTTGCCTTCTTGCACATTTTTCAAGTTGGTGGTGTCGAAATAAGATCTATGCAGCTTTAGAATGACAGCAGCTTGAGGACTAATCCAGTACTACCTGCTTTACAGAGAGAGATTCGAAGAGAAAGTTAATGATGTATACACTATCATGTAGGCTTTCATAGTTAGCTTCAGACTTGGTCCTGCCAACAATTTGCCTTCCATCTGCTGCGAATCCAGCAACTACCTGTAATTGTATAACACCATAAAATTAATGCAAACTTATCTGTCAGAACAAACAACCTGGGTGATTAAGCCAAACTTGATAACCATGTGAGAAAAGAAAACGAAGTTTAGAAGATATAGCCTGGGTGATTAACGCTAGAATTGAAATGAGCAAGCACAAAATAAAATGAAAGGAGAGATAAAACTGAAAAGTAATAAAACAGAGGATTTGCTCTGCATTAGAACCAAATTTAACCCACTCAAATAGAACCAAACATATATATATATATAACCTAGCAATTATCAAATTAAACCAAACAACACAAAAGCCTCATTCAAAGCAAAATATTGAACCCAGATGCTAACTTTAACAACAAAGGTCAAGGAATTGTACCTTGGTCAGATATTTTACTCCCCCAAAGGTCAAGGTATTGTAGTTTAGAAATTACTTGATACAGCAAATATCAGCAGCATATTTTACCTCCCTCATTTGACTCTCTGCTTCCATCTTTATATCACCAATAAGAAATACTTGATTTTTATAACTAGGTAAGAAACAACCACACTGAACTTTAAGCAACACCTTCAACAATCTAAGAATTGAAAGAGATATTCAAAAGTTCTCATAAATCAATCAGGAAAAGTTCAAATTTTGAAGAATATGAAATGAGCCAAAATGAATCATACCCATTAATTCCTCGGTGTTAAAGATTATGCTTTAAAGTCTCTTTCTCAATCTTACATCCTACAAATCCCTTCAATTTTGCTGTAGCAGTGAAGTTTTCAATGGGTTTTTGCATTTGCATTCGATAATTCATCAAAGAGACAAGAGACAAGAAAATAACTTTTGAGAGTTTCAACTTTCAAGGACTTACACTGTTGAGCGAATAACAAAACGCCAAATTTCCCAGCTGATTTTGTTGTTCTACTCCACTATTTTCCCAGTAAGCAACGCTCAACGGGCATCAAATCATCTTCTAAAAGAAAAACGACAAACATCTCTCAAAGGGATTAACATAAATGTACAAGCCCAAACACAAACACAAAGAAATTAGAAAATCAAATTCATGAAACCAAAACAATTGCTTGTTGGAATACTGATTTAAACGAAGCACTCAAATGAACAAGCACAAAGTAATTATTTAAGGGAAACTAAGAAAAAAAAAAACAGAGGACGGAGAGGGAACACGAAGATGCACACTGAAATCCACACTTGCAAAAAACAAAAACAAAATCCACATAATAATCAAACCCATTGATACAGATAAAAGGGTGGAGAAAGCTAAACAAGTAGAACATAACGCTAGAAATAGATTATTACCCAAATAAACCCTAGAAAAGAGGAAGATGACGAAATTTGTGTTTTAGATCCTCTAATTTATGTGTCTAATTTGGGAATTTAAGAAATAGTGGAAGAAATTAGGGATTCTGATATTTGGGAATCAAAGAAATGAGAGAAAGAGAGGGAGAAGGTGAGGAGGCTGAGGGTAAAGAGGCTAACCTTGAATGCCACCTACCACAGAACTCTGACACACGAATTTGGAAAGCGTAGTAACATGAGGGAAATGGCGAGCTCGGCGAGCTTGTGACATCGACAACGCGAGCTCGGTGACCACGAGAGCGCGAGGGAGATGGTGCTTCAGATATGTGATAGAGAGATGAGATTGGAA